TTTAACCTAATTTACGAACAGGGGAAGATGGGGTGGGGGGGGGTAGGTTAGACTTTTATCTCAGCAGTTTGTATGTGTGTGCTCACTGACCCTTTTTTCATATCGTCCCTGCATTCGTGAGTTCCGTCTTTTGTTGTTGTTGTTGTTTTCTTGTCCTCCTAACTTCGACCCTTTTATAAAATTTAAATTATATAATATACCTTTTTATTAGAGCATAATAATTATGCCTCGAACAAAGCAGAAAAGGTTTTATACTTTATAGAATTCGTATTCTGAGCTTGCTTCTGGACGATACCCTGGAAGGTCTCAAAAATTTTCGTGAGTAATTTTGCCTTTCTTATAGAAATAGAATTAATACCGTATCCCTCTAAGCCTGCGTATTGACTCTCAGGGGCAGGATCAGACTATTCTACCTCCCAAACGATCAACATTGTGCTGCCTAAATTTTAGAATGCTTGCAATAATTAACAAGTATGTGTTTCTCTTCAACTTAGAAATCCCCTCTTTTTTTTCAGAACGAAAAGAAAAACGGCAAAATAAACGACGGCTTCGTTCTTGATGAGAAACCCGTCGATAAAGGAGACGTGATTCTGGACAGGATTGGTGATGACGAAGAGGAAGATCCTTGGAAAGTGACCAGTCTCAGCCAGAACTACACGCCATGGAACGGTCAGTTGTTACTCCTTATTGGATGTCTTGCAGTTATCGTTGGTCCTTTTCGTGAGTGGGGGTTTGCTGGCACTCCGATGTAGTTTTTCTGGGGGTTTTTCGTATCAAACATCTATCGCCCTTTTTTCTCCTTCGCCTTTTCTTTTAATTTTGTCCTTATTAGTAACGCCTCGAATCATAGACACTTTGATTACCTATTTGTGTATCAAATACTTAACTGAATTAAACATTTTTTCTTTTAACTGAAAAAGTCAATCTTTCAAATATTACATAAAGATAAATATTCGCAATTCATCATTGAAGGAAAAGCGAAGAACCGATTAAAATGTACTCTCATGACGTATCATAGATAAAATGCGTTAAGACAGAACAAAAAGTGAAAGTTGTTTCATAAGTTTTATTTATTTGTTATTTGTTGGTGTTATCGTTGTTGCTTTAAAATGATACTGCTGTTGGCCTCTTTGCGACCGAAGCAATAACTGCGTTCATCTCCACAACTGATCACACACGGAACTCAATTATATTGTAAGCTTTGAGGATGAATTCGTAAAATTTAACCAAGGAATATCCCATAACCTCTGAAATTTACAACTTGTATAATGGGAGCAGCCAGTTCTGTCGAATTTCTATGAAACAAAGCTGTTAGCACTTTTTGACAGCCTAGTTTATCTTGTTATCTCCTGCACAACGTTATTTGTTTTTCTCGGTCACTGTAAAATCGGTCAGAACAAATACACAGTACCAATAAACCGTGACCTTGGACCAAGTGAAAGCAGGTGTGAGAAGTGGAACATGTCTGTGGAACGTGTTTTTCTTTTAAAGCTACATTTCCTCAAGTGTATCGACAATATCTTTACTGTTATCATTCAGACCAAAGTAAACAGGGGCATGGTTCCCATTCCAATCTCTGCCATTATGTTGGCCTGGATTTTGATATCTTGAGACATTCTGGTTGAAAATCGACCCAGATAACCCGAAAAACTTTTGACATTCTAAGCTTCCAAAATTGATTAATGATTTCAGCGTCAACTCTGCACACCAACTCGTAAAGAGCAAGCCAAAACTTTCGTCATCGTCAGATACATCAAAAAAAATGGGACGAGTAACGTTAAACCTTAACCGTGGGTGGTTGATGGGTGCTTTGGAGTGATTTGGTTTGCCGACTTCTTTCCTATCAAACATCTGTCGTCATTATCTGTTCTTCTTTCGGGGGTGGTTGAAAGGGGCCATTCATAGTTGGTGCTACTTCTTTACTTCCATTATGTTGTTTCTGTCTGTATGTCTGTCTTACTTTTTTCCCCAGCACTAAATTCATTGTTGTGTCAATATTATGCTTCTTTATACTCAATCAAACAAACAAATCTCCTCCTTTTTTGTCGCTACTAACTTGTAACACCGCTAATCTTCGACACCTACATGACCTTATTGTGTTGACATGATAGCACCATACATTTTTACCCAAACATCACTTTAACCAACAATGTGATGTGGTTTGTTCTCTTTCAGAGCTGTCCCAAAACGGCAAGATCCTGCGTGTAATCGGCTACTTCGTGAAGGTCATCCTCGTCCTGGCAGCGCTTTATATGTTCATCTGCTCCCTCGATTTCCTGAGTTCTGCCTTTAAACTGCTTGGAGGTATAGCAGCTATATATTTTTCTATTATTCGGGGTCAGTTTGGAGGGGGAGGGGGGGTAGAGTTAGTCGGACTTCATAGTAGTTGGATATCAATTTTCGTGTTCATACGCACACGTCTCTTCACCTAAGACAAGCGTTCCTACGAGCACAAGCAAGCACACACACATATTCACTCACTCAAACACACACACACACACACACACACACGCACTCATGCATACATGCACACATGCATAGATGCACAGATGCACACATACACATACGCTCATAAACATCATTTCATAAACATAAACGCACCAACACATAAAGAATAAACTCTTAGTTGCTATCATCATCATCATCATCATCATCATCATCATCATTCATCATTATTATCATCATCATCACATCATCATCATCATCATCATCATCATCATCATCATCATCATCATCATCATCA